GCATTTTAGTAAGAAAGCTACGTTTTTATGGATGTTAGAAACTTACTGACCTAATATTTGTAAGTGGTCTGTTTGGGCGAGTACAATTTAATTATGTAATGCAGTGTTTCAAAACAAATTTAGCTGTTTTTTTGATGTATAACGTCCCTAACTTGATGGCAGTGTACCTTGTGCCACTGAATTCCCAAAGTGTACCAACTTTTTTTTACTGTGCTTCAAATAAATAGAAAACTAAATGTAGTAACTTTTCTTGCCATTCGTGGTTAAACATACGAGGCTAAATACCACACCTTCCGCAGTAAACCGAGAGTCTTGCGTAGAGGTCAAACTAGACCAGGGTGTGGAACTGCAGTGAAGAGCGAGGTCTCTTCCCATAATGCCTCTAGCTAAAGATTGGGTTAAATAGTAGACGAACTTTCCAGTAGGTGCAGATTTCTTGAGCATTAATTGTGCTGCAATAAGGAAGCAAATGGAAATCTTGCAAGTGCTGCGAGATACAATAATTAAAGCTACACTGCAAGCAGTGCAGTATGTAATGAATTCATATTTTAGCTACGGATAATGGGTGGTGGGATGGTAGCCCTTGCCACCTTGGCAGTTACTGCTTGGAATCTCTTAAAGACTTTAAGCAGAAGACTAGCAATGGTTATTTTGAAATAAATTCAGAGAATGACTTGTATTGGCTGACTTCCTACCTAAAGGATTGTTAATGTGATATTTATGTGCTCTTAAGCTGTCTGAGACTACAGGATCTGGCCTTGCTCCGTATTGTGTACTCACCTGAAATTGCTTGGCAAAAAGACCAGAAGTGTTACTAGTGATTAAGGTTAACTTGCTTATGTCCTCATTGCTAATTGAGTGGACTAATTTGCGTAGTTCAGAATACATCTATTTGTATTATGGGGACTGCAGGAACTATTCTTAAATCATGTAGCTGGTGGGCAAATCCTAAAAAACTGTATGTAAAATACAGAAATTAGCTTGCTTGCATGATGGGTATCGCTCTTTTATTATTGATGTTTGCAGATAATGCATCAAAAGTAGTATCTGAATCTGGAGTTTAATAGTTAATACTATGCAGTGCAAATAAACTCCCTTTTAAGGTTCTTTTGTAGAAGATTTGATGAATTCGTTAGCTTGCTGTTCATTTTATTAAGCCCCAGAAGAATTTGAAAGCATTCTGGACTCATTGGTAAGGTAGTTGCTCTGCTTATTATTATATTGTACCAGATAAGCTGGGAACGTGACTTCCCAGTGTGAAATACCTTGGTGTTAATGCAGGATCCATCAACCTGCTTGGCACAAAATAGCTTAGTTTGGCTGTACCCTCACACGATTCCCCAGCTACCAAGCATTCTGTGAGTAGCTTGAATTTTCCAACCAACAATCTTTCCATTCCTTGTGCTGAGCATTGGCTAATTCTAAATTCTGTGCTAATTTTTCTCTTTTGTAATAAACTTTAGTGTCAGCTTGCAGTATTTTAGAGTGCAGATGATCCCTCTTGAAGTACTCTTAAGTGCTGTTACTCCTTAAATGCAAAAATGGCATGTTGTGAAATGCTGATACCAGGTAACACTGACTTTGAATATTAAGCGTACTAAATAGTGACTCAGCTTGTTTGGTGAATGCTTCTTACTTTCCCAGGAAAGTTTGGGGGTTGATAACGTGCTACAACCATGAATTGTTCTTCAGGAAATCCGGAATTGGCAGTTCCTAAGCTCTGCGGACCAAGTATCTGGGAGTACTTGTATTGGATACTTAGTTTAAAAATCAGCAGTACCGATGCAATTTCTTTATTGAAGTAGTATTAAATAATGCATATGTTGTCTGGAGGGTGTTCATGGGACACCCACAAAAGGTGAAAGTGTCTCAGATGGGGAATTCTGAACATAAACATTAAATTAATTTTTTCAGTTTATTTTTCAGATTACATGTCATTCTTTATTAAAGAGATGCTGGTGTATATCCTAAAGTATGTTCTTTTGTAGTTCTGTAACTTTGAAGAGTGAAGGATGCTGATGTCCTTGTACCTTACAGAGGTTGTCTTTTGGTACCTGTTTTGTACGTAAGCTACTGTTGCTAGGTATTAAAAATAGCTTGAGTTGCAAAACCGTGATTAGTAAATATATTGAAAGATCTGGCAGTTTTCAAAACATCTGAAAGTTTGGTTAAATCTAGCTTTGTAGCTGCATAAGCAGAATTTCTAAAACAAGTTCTGCTTTGAGTTGCATGTATTAAGGCATACAATTAACTAGATACCACCTTTTAAAGGTCTTGAAGTTGTCTTAAAAGCTGTCAAACATGTCAACTTTAAAATCTGATAAAGTTGCTAAATGTGGGAGGCGAGAAAGTTATCTACCTTTGATCTGTTCCTATGAGGTTTTGGACTCTTTTTTTTTATAAAATCAGATTTATATAATTGAATCTTCAAAACCATTTAGAAAAGTGCTTTGGTCAGACCTGGTTTTGGATGGTCTGGATCACATAACACATTTTTGTACTGGACTTGGAGGACATTGGCTGTTGCAATTTAGTGTGATCAAAATTGAGCCCATTTTGACACAGATTTCTAAAAACTGCAGCATGTAGAAACTGGTATCGTTATACATTTATCTTCAACCCTTTCTCAGAAATGAATGCAGAATAATCTTCTGGTGTAGACATATTAATCATTTATACAGCTGCTGAGAGACTGAAACTGCTTTTGAGATTTTGTGGTATTTTTGTGGTAGAGAAATTCTTGGCTTCTCCTTGGCAACCATTTATTGTGGGAGCAAGTTTTTGCTGGAGTTTGAGACTGCAATTTACACTTAAAACTAGTGGCCTGCTACATAACTGCACTTAGCCAGCATTTCTGCAGTTCATAACTGTGAGGAACGTAGTACCACAAATGGCAATGGACATTAGGACCCGGATGTAGTATTCCTGCTTGCTCCAAGATTCTCATTGCCGACTGCGTACAGGTAGGTAACAAGCAATATAATATAACTTGGTGACTTTCTATGTAATCTTATACTGTGGGTATTCTGACATCACACTTCTGACTGTGGAATTACAGTGCAGCACTCCTCATACCTGTATGTTAAGCTTGCATCAAAGCTGCGTGGTTTTCGGTTTTAAGCTTTGTCTTGTTCAGAGTCAATAAGCAACTTACTGTGATTCTTAGATTAAGTATTTTCAGACCCGATTCCTTTGTACATACGACTCGGCTTGTGTGGGTTTTTCTTAGTTCCGATGTAACAAAGATATTCTCAGATGAGCTCTGTGGGGAAGAGGGAATGTGATCTTAAACTCACGCAACTAGTCAACTAGGCGCTGTCAGTGCCTAGAAGAGGACTGTTCAAACTTTCTGTGGTGACAGAATGGCCCATCTGCAGCGCATCCCTTCGTAGGCTCTTGGCTCGGTAGGAAATGCCTTAGTGATCGCTGCTATAGCCGTGTGTGCACTATGTGATAGTTGCTTTAAACTTGCTGATACAGTCAGCTTTGAGACTGATTTGGAATAGTTTTGAGGACGTACAACTGAGTACTTGAATGAATATCCCTGTGAGTAGTTTCATAGAGCTTATTGGACATTGCAGTTGTCTTTATTTTAATCTTTGACAAGCGTAATGTATTCCTCTGCCTTTAACTGACAGTGATGAAATTCTGTATTTCTGCCTCGTAGAGTCATCTTGGTAGTGTAATGCTCAATTTCATTTTTCATCAGTCTTGGGGATGTAATTCTAAACTCTTCATTACTAGAAATACTGAACGTAGTGTTTCAGGATTAACATGCTTGTGTTTCCAGACATCCAGACATGCTGATCTCCAGCTCTTTTGCATTAGCTCTCGAACCTGAATTTCAAGGTCCCTTGCTTCAGCACGTGATCTAGCTCTTGTCTGATGTTCAGTTTATTTACTTCAGAGGTATTGTAATGTGTTTTCCTGCTTGTTCTGCAAAGTTTTGCTTTGCATACTTGTTTCTGGTGGTATTGTCACATTGGGACACTTCTGTGTTATCTTCCAGGCAAGACTCTTGCTGGTGAACAGGGGATCTGCTGGACAGCCTTGCCCTCTGCTGTAGCTATCTTTTCACGTTCCATTGAGAGCTTGAAGTAGCAGCTGCACTGTAAGATCGTAACAGGTCTTTGGTTACACCACAGCAAGTGTAGCTGAACTCTAGCTAGTCAAGCAGTAGCACCACTTGGCACAAAGTCAGTTTGGCTTTTCGTGATGGCTTACTCTTACCTGTGAGTAGAATTCAGTTGCAAAACTGATGGCGGTATGCGTACTGTCATGTAGCAGAACTGAATTATTAATCTTTAAACCAGTGCTCAGATCTGACTGGTTTTTCCAGTGTGCTTTAGATACTTGACTTGATCCGCAGGAATGTCGTGGAGGGGTTATTGGCACATCTGCCTCGTTCTACATACTTGAACTAGCAGGTTTTTGACACTCTTGGAGCAAGCAATTTGTGACTGAACCGTGGGTCTCTACCAGCTCTGACTGTCCACAGTAATGAAACTTGGTGTGGTAGCTTACTTAAAAGCAAATAGTCACGTCTGCGCTAAGTCAGTCTGTAATAAGTGGGTACAAGAAATGGCATTGAAGTGCTTGCATTGTGTTTCATCTTGGGCTTATCTGTGTGTGAAATACACTTTTTCTCAAAAGCTAATCTGAAGCTCAGAAGTGTGGTGTCAGAATACATATGCGTACCTGCAAGGCCCTCAGATCCAGATACTGGTGCTGTCAGGAGAGAGCACAGCATAGCGCGTATGGGGGCTTCACTGTAACATTAAGCATACAAAGTGTTGATTTGCTTGCAGTTTTCCCCATAGCTAAACACTGAGGCCTGTGAGTAGTTTTAGGACTTGAGCAGTAATGGGGTTGCATGTCTCTGTTAATCATTGCCAGCTGCAGTGACATGATCAGGAAGGCCAGTGTTCTGTTCCATTATGTTAAATGAGGCTAAGCATGTTGGAAAGGATGCATTAAAAGTATGCTGTTCTGGGTAATTACTTGGCTTCTTCCACTACTAGCAAGTTTGGAATCGGCTAATTAGCTTCAGATTTTTTTTCCTGTCCATACCAGCTAGTGGGGCTGTTAAATAGCTGCTTACTGGAAAAGGAAAAAAGGGAGGATTGGCCTTCTCCCACCTCTGTCATTGCTGCTAGATAATGATTGACATGTTAGGACTTGGCTGTGCAATCCCGCAGTGGTCTGTGAATACCCCATCTCTGTAAATGTTGCTTCTGAACACCAGTACTGAAGAGCTAACTGGGGAGGGCTGGGAGGAGTGTGGCTAGAAGTGAATCTGGAGTGTTAAAAGGATGCACAAAGATATAGTATCCCTTATGCATGATGTTTGTTGCTATGGCATAGAAAACAAAATGTGCATACTATACTTCTGAGGGCCATGATAAAACCCAGGTGGTGGGTTTGAGACTAAACTTGAGCTTCGCCCTGCCTGGTCGGATCACATTGTGACCATGGTGTGATTTGCCTCCCAACTAGAGGTGTGCACAGAACCTCCTACTGCATCCCTAGCTGCTGAGCATTGCAGTTCGCCCTCAGTGTTTGCCCTTACCTATAGTAAAAGAGTGGGTCTTGGAAGGGAAGAATCTGTTGGCGAGCATAAAAGCAGCAGACTGACAGCGCTGACCTCCAGTGTCTTCCTTCGGCTGTTGAAGCACTTGTAGGACTATCGAACCTGAGGGCTGCAGGAGTCCAGGGACATTGCACTCCTTCATGAAGGGGAGGACAGAGGGCATTACTGCAGGAGACAAGCTAGTGTAAAATAGTTGAAGTAGCTTGACAAAATTGTTAATGCCTTCACATAAGGGATAGTATACCTCTGGCTGCAATCAAACCTCATTGTACTCAGACTGGTGATTTACGGTTTGTGCTCAGACAGGGTGCAGTTCTTCAGTCAACCACCTGCATATTCCTTCATCTCTTTACAAGTGTTTAGGCTAGACTATTTCTGCCCCTTATTCTTCCACTTAAGATTTTGGAATAATATGTAAATTCCCCCTCATAACTAATCAGTCCATGTATCTTAAAACCTTATCTTTAAGTTAGTTTTGAAATGGACAGATTTTTCCATGTATTACTATAATAACTTCTGTTGTTATCCTTTAGGTGAAGATGGAAGCTGAGTGAAACCGGAGTGCTCATCCGTGGGAAGTAAGGATAACTTCTGATCTTGTTCTGAATGAGTGAAATAATGAAGGCTTTTGGACGTTTGATAACTGAGTAACTTCGAGTTGGTGAATATTGAGAAATCCGTACAAGTGAGTACGTGAAGTGTGTAGGGTAGAACTTAGTACCTGCTGCCAAGCTGTGGGGTGAAGTACCCAGGCTCCATCTGGGCTTGATGTCTTGACAGCAGTGGTTAAAAATACCTTTCTAGGCGTGGGCTTGTACAAGGGATTACAAAATCGCTGTGAGTGTAACTTTGGAATGTTTTTCCAGCTCGGGAGCCGAGCATGAGCACATCCAGCACGATGCCCAGCGATCTGTGGAGGGGCCAAGATAACAAGTGAGCAGGTGAGTAGTTGGTGTCCTCATACTGCTGTGAGGGCTCGGTAACCCATCACCCTGTGGCGATGTATTATGTAGTTCCTGCCTGAAATCTGCTCTTGACTAATCTCAATTTTATATAAAATTTCTGAAGCTTTCTTTTGTAGAGCCAAGCTATAACCATTGTTTGAGGCTTTTCAGTCCTGCAGTGTCAGATAAACTCTGTCCTCTGAGTGCTGTGGGTGGTCGAACAGATAACCAGTTCTGCCTCCAGGCTCCAGTGACTGGGGTGGGTGGCTGGCACCAAGGGAAGAAGGGACCAGTAGAGCAGCTGCTTCTCAAATGTTCATCTGATTAAAAGTTGTTCAAAAGCTACTTTTCTTTAATACTTCAATGAAATTTCAAAATACCCTGGAATCGAAATTAGCATCTACAAGAGTACAAGCAGATAGTGATTTAGGGAAGTAAACTAACTTGCAGAGCTGGAATTAATGAAATTTTCGCTCTAATTTAATACTTAAAGTACAAGGGGGAACCTCAGATATTTAAAGTCTTGTGTGAGGAGCAACATGCAAAGTACCTTAACTCAGGAGTGATGGGTAAGTAACAGCTTGGATACGCCACAGCTGAACCTGTAAGACGTGAAGCTGGTGAGATTCAGTTGGTGAACTCCTGTTGGATCGTGTGTGATTTGTCACTGCTGCTCTTGTTTCCAGGGTAGTAAAACACAAAGCCATTTCAGATGTGTGAAATCGATGAAGTAGATGAAAAGGTGAATGCTGTTCATTCACTCTCAAGGCTGGTGTGTGAACTCGGGGTCCTAGAGAACATTTGGCAGGTGCTGGGCCGGTTGTGGTGCACTCGTTGCCTTGCCATGTCATTCTGTGTGGTTCTGCTGGTGTTTTTAGTGGTGTTACTAATGGTGTGCTTTGCACTTGCAGAAGAAGATGGAAGTCTGAATGCAGTGAAGAGAAGCCAGGAACATAGAGTTTTTAAAAATAAAATGCTTTTTTTTATAAATGACTTCTGTTTTATTCCAGAGTGTGTTCAGTGAGTAAGCAGCTTGTTCAGCGTAACGCGGTGTGGACGAATTTGAGAAACGCTGCCGCGGATGGGGCTGTAGAAGCGGGCACAGAACGTGCTGGAGCGAGAAGGGCTTGGGTCCTTGGATCCTGCGCTGTGCTGCAGCAAGCGCATGAAAGGGAACCACTCACAGCTGATCAAAGCCTGTCAGACCGAGTGTGGCATTTTTTCCTGCTGGGATGGTGCCGTGGGCTTCCTCTGGCAGTCAAAACGCTCCACTTCAGGCTGGCTGTGCTCCTGACCGGTGTGCAGCCGTAGGCGCTTTGGCTAAATGACGAGCTTAGGGTTTTAAAATTACACTTCTGCCTAAGGCGCCTGAGGTATTTCTCAAGTTTCACCCATTCCTTCTCCGTCTCGAGCCCTGTGTGCTGCTGTAGTTACGCGTGCCCGGTCGTCTTGGTGATGACTGTAGTAATTCAGCCTGAAAGGCCGAAGTTAGTTCTTTGGAAGCCAGAGAAGTGCTGGGTTTAGCTCTTGCAGCACAAATTACCGTGCTCGTATTGCTTCATTTGATTCCTTGGACAGCTGCACTGTGTGCGTACGTAGTTCATGCTGTCAGTTATTACATATGGTCCTTTGTTCAAAAATCCAGTAGTTCATGTGTTAATACGCCAGCAGTAGGCTGTCTGCGTGGAGCTGCGTTGCAGCAAGGTTTTCCCCTGCAGCGGCAGGGAGAGGCGTCAGCATTGGGCTGGGAGTTGCCGTGCCAGACTAGAAAGATGAAAATAGATTTGGCTTAATGTGGCAGGCGTGTGAGATTGTTGAGACGTGTCTGGGGGGCCAGGGGCGCAGGGTTAGTGCCTGGCTGGAACACAGCTCGCCTGTGCTTGAAACCCCAGCCAGCCCTGGCTTGTGTTCTCCTAAATGGGGGAAGCTTTCGCTACCAGAGCAGAGTTCGCTGCTGGAGCTGCGTTGCGGGTGCTGAGTCCATGTTCCGTAGGGTTCGGGGAGCTGAGCAGCCCCGGGGCTGGGCTGGCGCGGTGGGAGCAGCTGCTCGGGGCTGGGGCAGCAGGAAGGGCCCGGCAGG